ACTACCTTACTACCTTACTACCTTACTACCTTACTACCTTACTACCTACTACCTACTACTTACTACTGACTACTCACTACTCACTACTAACTACTAACTACTAACGACTTACCACTTACCACTTACTACTAACTACTAACGACTTACCACTTACCACTTACTACTTACTACTTACTACCTACTACCTACCTACTACTACTGCTACTACTACTACTAGGGCCCCGGACGTTTGCAAGGTTCGGGCCCCGGTTCGGTCGGGCCCTTCGGTCACGACCATGGACCCAAAGAACCATCGTCGCAGAGTCTTTCCTTCCCTCCACGAGTCGCTGCATGCCATCCCTCGTCCGTTGACGGTTGCTTTAAACGGTCGCAACATTCGACTCATTACCAGGGGGATGTTCTTTTCCCTTCTTCATGATTCTTGGAACTGAACATCTTTCCAACCAACATGATGGTGGTTGTTCCCTTTTCCACCCTCCCCCCAATTGGAATTCATCCCCTCCAATCCAACCAGCGGCACATGATGGTGAAGTTCCAGGCCGCTCCCGTCAACACCGTGGAGGCCGTCGTGCCCGCCACGGCGATCAGCAGCACCGGGCGTCGACCGAACTTATCGGAGGCCCAGCCTGGGGAGAACGACACGGTGAGAAACCCGAGGCGAGGAAGGCGGGTTGGAAAGGAGACGTCTGCAGTTGGATCCAGGTGGAACACCGGTGATGCTTTTCAAGGGTAGGATTCCAAGACATAAATACGTGAGAGAATCGGCCCAGTGGGCCCGATTCGTAATAGGTAAGGTGGAATTGGCGTTGGCCCGTTGGGTGTTGGCCCGTTGGTTCAATGAAGCATGAGTTGTGGGCTGAGATACCCCGGATCTAGCAATGCGACGGAATCCTTCGATCATGCACCAAATCCTGCCGTCTACTCACAAGTGGCTGCATAATCTTTCCGACTTCTGGATTCAAAAGGCTGACAGAGCAGCCAGCTTACAAGCCCTGATAGTCCAAATGACTAATTTTACCATATTTTACCATTCTGGTAGTGGTGGATGATGACTATCAGGTGGAGTAAAATTAGCCACTGGAAGTTCTGGGAAGGGCTACGGGATTGACAAGTCGGTGTGTAGATCATCTGTATCCAATGCAGTACAGCATGTTTTCTTGGGAACTGTTTTTGAGAGCTTGAAATGTTACTTTAAATAAGGTACACCGAAACAACACGATTAGTGATGACATCACATAGCTTTACGCCCCACATCTGCCACGACTGCCCCGCATCGACAGCTCGCAGGGGTGGTTCACCCATCAATCCAGCTCGGGTTGCTGTTCAATGAGCTTCCCAGCCCATTCAAATAACCAACCACCCATACCTTCACCTCCTTCCCAATGAACAACTCCCTTCTACCCCGCCTAGAACAGGTGTAAAGATCACTTGCGCCACGGAGAAGAAGGTGGCTAAGCTTCCGACCTGCAGGCTTACAATGCCTTTTGGGGCCATCGAGTTGCTGACGAGCAACTTCATCGAATCCCAAACCAAACCAACACGACCGAATCGCAGCAGACCGCGACGTGTCTGGCGACGTGTCGCCGTTGACCCTTACTCTGCTCAAGCTGGACTTCCTATGCTACATGACAGCATGTGGTGGATCAAACATACTCAACAAATCTCAAAAACACATGCAAGGGTAGGAGTCCTACTGCGATGATGCATCGTACCGCTATGATGTAGTATCCTACTCCAGTTGATCTTTCCTATTTCAATTGATTTACTCAAGGAAATCCTGCATTGAGAGGACACAAACACATATCATATCGGTGTATATTAGTGTTGCTGTAACTATCTGAGGTATGATCAAATATTACGATGTGCGCATTTTTGAGTCCCCTACCATTTCCTAATGTTTAGGAACCTGTTCTATGAGGTTATATAAGTTATATATATATTATATATGGTATTTTTGTGAGTCCCCTATTCACTGTTTGCCAGGGTTTGGGGCATTCCGAGCATATGAATGCAAAGCCAGTATTCATGAAACAAAAACACGTGTTGAAGGCATTTCTATCTTGCAAACATTCTCCAAAAGACAAACACAAAACAAATAGCTTTTAGGCAGTTTCTGCTGTTTTTTTAAAGATTTGACCAACCTGCATCGCCGAGGCATTGAACTCCTCTGCAATCGATGGCAGCAGTGGGAAGACAATCCCGAAGTTCAACATGTCCATCAAAACGATTAAGTACCTCAGCAGCTTTCACTGACTCTAGTGACTCAGGAAATGTCTGAAGAGGTTCTGGCAAATTGATTGAGTAACTCAGGAGCTTGTGATGGAGATATGTTCAGCAGCTTTGAGATTTCATGGAGCCAAACCCTTGCATATAGCTTTGAAGCTTCTTGCATGGAACCCAAGCGCCCCGGTGGTCTGTTAAAGCCAACAAGACCAGAATGCCATACACCTGCCACAACATTGTCAAGCCTACATAGCCACACTGGAGCAAAACTCCTCTTTCCAGCTCTCCGTTCGGAGAACATGCCAGGGCCTTGACACCAGCGGCAGATGTTGTCAGGGGCTTGACACCTCGACGACGGAGTTGGGATGTTTGCGGACCTGACGACGCCGACGCCGACGCACAGAAGACCTCAAGACGACAGGCCGACGCCGAACCGATGCTGAAGAGAGAGAAACAACGTCGAGCTTCACTTGAAAACGTCGTGACTCCCTGATCCGAGAGAGTAAAACATGACAAAGTACCATCTCCCGTCTCCCATCCTTTTTGTACAAGCAAACGCTTGTGTACTCCAAGACTTGAAGAACAAAGGGATAGACAATTCCCAAAGTAATCAGTGAGCCAAAAGTGCTCTTGATTCTTCGGGCCAACAGATTCCGAGAAGGCCCATGTTCGTGCCAAGGGTGCATGGTCCATATCGCCCCACGCGAGACCTTCGGCATTTCTCCAGGTGTTCCGCGCCGCAGGCGCGGCCAACGTCGACCTAGTGCCATCGATGGCGCAACGTCGAGAACAAAGGGGATATAGTAGTTGATCTGCGGCGGAATCTTCCTTGAAAGTAGCGGGACATATTAGGACTCTGGAAACAACAAAGTCCTGATGTTCTTGTGGATTCATTGTTGACTTTTCTTAGACGTTCTGGGGTATAGCCACAGTTGCATGAGCGTGCATGAGGAAGTGCCCCACCAAAATCGCCGCAGATCCAGATCCACCAATGATCGCCTTACTAAGGCGTGGCCAAAAAGATAATACAAAAGCCAGCAAGATAACTATAATATAGTGGTCCCCTAAGTAGATAGTGGCACGGTGTCCATAATTAATGCATGTTTAGTGGGGATATGTGGGGATCTATTTTTCCGTCTATTTGGGGGGTCTCAATAATATTTTGTTATTATTACTGTGACTAAATATACTCTCCAACCCTGGTGGATTCAATGGTCAGCGCAACAAGTTCGCCTTGACCAAAGCCGCGTGCCCGCGCGAGAAACGGCTCTGAGACCCGAAATGGCTCACACTCATTCACCACGCAGCAGGGATTCAGTGCAGTTGCAGTTGACTGTGTTTGATTGGGATTCAGTTCTGGACACTTTTTCTGCAGCAAACGCGGCAAAGAATCAGTTATAGTTTCAGTGCAGCCAAAGATAGCCCAAGGCCATGATTGAAGCAGGCATCCTAGACTTGAAGACTGACTGAATTCACAAAAGGGATATATAGGTCATATAGTAATTGCAGTAATTACCAAACATATCAGAGCTATCTCAAGAAACGATCTGCCATTGCTCCTGAAAAATTGTTCCTGCCGGGCTCAAGAGACCCAGTTTGGCTGCCGGGCCCAAGAGACCACCCCCTGAGCCATGGGGTCCTTGGAGCCGATTCGTGGGCCCACCATGGCGGGCTCCACCGCGTCCCAGCGACGGCAATGGATGAGTGGTGAGATTCACCGAGAGTGGAGAGTGGTGAATGGTGACTACCAGTAGCAAGAAGCTACTAGGGGCTCCTGGCATCACTACTAGGAGCATTCTTACTGCTAGTAGCAAGAAACTACTAGTAGCCAGTTGTTACAATTAATTAATTTATGCACTTGTTACTAGCACCGATGCACTTGTTACTAGATGGACGGGATGATGGATGTTCTTCCAGGATTCTGCGGGATGTCGTGGATCTTTGCCACCCGTCCCAACGGCCACCCATCCGGCCTCGGGCAGGGTCTGTGGCCGTTGCGCCAAGCGTTCATGACAACGCTGGGCCACATTGGGCCACCACCTCTGGGTCGAGTGACTCAGAGGTGGGTGGAACATGCTCCTGCCCATATCCTGGTGGTTAGACCCCCCTGGCACCCACCCCACCGAGGTAGGCCAGGAGCAGTTGGCACTTGCCTAGGTGATTGAACATGCTATGCCCGGGCATGTGCTTGAACATGACGAGTCCCAACGAGTGATGAAAGCTGGCATTTAGTACTTCCAGTTGCAGTCATAGAAAAAGCTGCGTGTTGGGCTTAAGCGACTCCAAGCATTCAATTTCTAGAGGTGCACAAACCCAGCCCTCCAAAGAAACAAATATTCCTCCTCTTGTGGGTGCCATGTCTCAGTTCACTGTCTTGAGGACTGACATGCTCAAACGTTCAAAAACACTTCCCAACATCGCTCGATCTGGGCGCCCGAGCGCGTCAGAGAAGAGGCCTCCGGACTCCTCGACAGAAGCCGTTCCGTTCCGTTTGACCAAAAGCGGTGTGAGAAGGCACCTTCTCGATGTGTCTGGTACTACTTTCCTGAATCACCTACAACCACCCCAAACCCTGTAAATATGTATTGTATCAGGGTTTTCTCTATGCCAGGTGGTCGAACAGTCGGAAGGAGGCCGCTCTCTAAATGAAGCATAGATCTTAAGGGGTGTCCAAATCACAAGTGACCACCTAGTAGGGTCATCAGGAGCATGTTGCTAACTTGAACGATTGGAGTAAAGGGGAGGAGAAGCTGCTTCTGCAGCCTGACAGTCGAATCAAGAACACCCAACCACAAACTATTGGAAGGTCTTGGTAGGTATTCTCTCAAAAATACAGGGGTCCCAAATCTGACCATCAGCCGTTAAGAAGAGTGGATAACATCCGCTTGGCTGAGTTGTGTCAATTGGAAGCCTCAAATAGTACAAAACAAGACATGAATCCTGAGTAATCTGTCAAATGCTACAGTGATTTTCTCTTTGTGCTCTTTTCAGCTGGTGTCCCCATCAGCTCCTCAGCACATTGCAATTGCGACACAACGCCGGCCGCACGGAAGTTGCCGGCCTCCTCCTCTGTTCGAGGTTCGCCCTCATCGGTGGAGCTTCCTGGCATGGCTCACAAGAGCCGCAAACAAAAGACAAGAAAGAGTTATATAGTTGGACAAGTTACAATCAGTCCAAGTCTGAACCTTCATGTCCGAGGTTCTGAAGGTAAATTTACTCAAACCTGAGCTACTCTTTGTGCCATCCAAATGTCATCATGACATTCCATCCGCAACACCACATGAGAGACTGCTCATCCCTCACATCCATTCCAGCCTGGATCATCCACACTGCTCCTGCATCAGGTCCCAGGGTAGTGAGATCACGGTCCCACGCTTGGAGGGTGCCTTCCTTCACCAACCTTCGGCATGCTTCACTTCTTCAATGATGTCTGAATTGAAGTTGGATGAACCAAAGTACAATATAAACATAACGTATACGCAAAATTAAAGATTTTTTGAAGTTGGATCATTTGTGCCAATAGACTTTGCATCGTCCCCAGCTCGGCCGCTCAACCTTCCCTGAGCTCCACACCCCCATCGAGGCCGACCTCGATCTAGCGCCGTGGCCGGTGGCTGGTGCTCGGTGGAGCGTGGAATGCTTCGCAAATTGCTTTCTCGGTCATGAGCTGATTGAATGCATGTGGTTGTTGTGAGAAGCTGCTTCATGTCCACCTGTGATTTCCCAAATGAGTTGGATGAAGAAAGACTTGCATCCTGTGAGATTCTTTGCCTCCATGCTCAAAGTATTTCATGCTCTCCTGCCTGAGCAAGAGGTTATCACCTTCACAAGCTTTATCATAACACCCTATGAATCTCTCAATATGGTCCATTGTAGGCCACACAAACTGCTGTAACATGCGCATAAGACCAAACAAGCAACATGAATTGTGATGAGCAAGTTGAGTAAGAAATTGGAACCGTTCCGGAAAGTCTGCGCAACTGCAGCACAGCTGGTATCATAACTGGTTTGAAGCTATTGCTTGTTGACGTTTCTTAGCCCCAGGCGTTCACCAGTTGGTCTCAGGATAGTGACTCACCAGTAAGTACTGGGCCAGTTCATGGGATGTCGAGCCAAACCAATGGGTCCTTCGCCCTACCTGGAACCGGTCCTTCTTTCAGCACTTTTGCCCACGCTTTCGGTCTCCCCCGGTCCAGCCCCGAGGCCCTTGGCCCAGGGCGAAGGAGGACCTGACGTCGATCGAAGATCCGAGTGCGAGGGCAATGTTGGCTCACTTGTTCACGAGGTTTGTAGAGGAAAACCGAGTGCCTGAATCTGCAAAGGGGCAGCTCTAAATCAAAAAGTCCCTTTAGTAAGCACATGAACATCTCCATTTTGCATTCTTTTTCGCTCTGTTGGTCGGGCCGCATTGTCTGGGAACGCTGCGCAACCAATTCAGACCCCAACGGCTAGCCTTTGACTCACGTTCGCACGGGTGTCCTTATACTTCCTGGAATGTGTCCTCACGTTGCTGTTACATCACTGCCTCCTTCCAACTCTAGCAACGAACGCACACCTTCCAGCTATTAGGACGCTAGTAGGTGGAGGCCATCGCAAGTAGGTTGGAGGCCATCGCTACTAATAACAAGAAGCTACCAGTAGCTATACTAGTAACAACCAAATATTCAGCAAACCTTCAGCCTAGCCTGGGCGTTCTCATCTTGGCGAGCAAGGACGGCCCACGCGAGGGGATCTGCCAGCGGCGAGCCGCCCGATGCGCCAGCTGCATGAGGAGCAACAGGGCCAGGGTCAAAGTGTGCGAAAAAGCGCAACACGTGGCTATCTTTTTAGCATCTTAGAGTTTAGAGTATTTCTTTCTTTGTAGAGTGACCCCAAAAGCGACGAACAAGCAACCCCCGTGCTTCAATCTTCAGTTGAGTTTGTTTTAGACTTTGGGAACAAACATAATTACTCAACATGGATACCATCTTTCAACCATCATGCACAGAAAGTCAGGTTACTTCAAATTTGCACCGATGTGCACTGCATTGACATTCTCGTAAGGGGGTGATAATAGACTGAAAGCGCCCGGTGCAAACTCCGCAATCAATCATATGAACATGCAAACAAGGAGTAAACGCTTCAAGTGGTAGGCAGGCCAAGCAGTGCTCGGCTATTTGTACATTGCCTTTGAAACTGGCCAAACTGAATAAATGCACAAATTCCCTGAGGAGGAGTTGGTAGCCTAGATTGGAGCATGGTCTTGTAGACTTCGTTCAGGTCATGAATGATCGGACGAACGAGTCTTGAGCCGCACAGACCGCCACGCAAAAGTGTGATTCCCATACACACATGATAGTGTATACAGTTGCCAGAGAGAATCAATCTCTGCCTTGCAAGCCTCCATTGTGAAGAAACTTCATCTTGCTGGAACTACCTTTGCAAGCTCATGGAAGGCAATCAGCAAAAACCCTGGAACTGTTTGCTTTCGTGCTGACCTGCAACTCTTCGAGAAATGCGGTGAGAAAGAATCGGATGGTGCAATGGTGCAGCCCCAGAGATCAAAGTTCAGCGAAGGCACCAGCTCTTTCTGCCTCTGTCACTTGGTTTGCTGGAAGAAAGGTCTGATTACATCAAGTTTAATCATCTCATTGAAGGATATTCCTTGGATACATCCCATTAGCGGCAACAGTTGATGATGATGATGATGATGATGATGATGATGATGGTTAGATGATATGGTTAGGTTGCAGGCCTTCCCCCCAAGACATCGTGATCCTCTTTGACCGACTGCAGGGAAACCCTGGGACACAGTCCGACAGACATTCCCCAGGGTTCTTAGGGTCTTGACTCAAATTCACCCATCAAACTCTGGAAAGTGCAACTGGAGCTTCCATGTCTCGGACATTCTTTTTGCAAGCACTCACACCCAACACCCTGACTAGTTCCATAACATCCCGGCAAGTGATTGAATAAAAACACACCCTTACCAAAGAGTCCAAATTCACACCTCCATACAGATGGACCTTTGAGACATTGAGACGCATTGAGCCGTGTCGAAGAACTCCGGGCGTCCGACCCTTCCCCGCTCCTTTTCACGGGCGGATGAAGGCACGGCCTCCGAGCGGGTGAAACGGCAGCGGCCTCGCGGAGGATAGACAAAACGGATGGCGAACACGCACGCGATGGCGATCTTCGTGGGATCAAACTAAAAGCTTACAGTAAATGGGACAGATGAACAAAATATGTCCCGTCCTAGCCCACCTACCTGTTCGGAAGAACATATGGAAAAAGAAAAAGCCTATGTTCCGCGG